TGTGCATGCACCCCCCCTCCCCCCTTTCACCGGCAAGTGGATCGCCCGCGCGCAGGGCGTACAGGATCGCTCCTACCATGCGTTCGACGGGGCTTTTTTTTTTCATTTGCGTAAGTTTGGGGGAGTGGAAGCGGCTCGAGCTCGGACGGGGAAGGGAAAAAGGGCTCTGGCGTGGCTTGGCTTTTGGCGCTCAGGGAAAGCGTTTTCTGGGGGACTGGGGGATTTTGGGTGTCTAGCTTTTTGTCTTTTAGAGTGATGTAGGAATTCTCTGTGCTGTGTTACATGTCGCTTTGCAAAGAGTTAAGGGCAGAGTATTTCATGTGAGGCACAGTAGCTGGACCTAACCCACTGCAATACATGCAGTACACGAGTGAAAACGAACCAAAAAAATAAAACTTGTTATTGCAACTTGAACATATTCCAAAACGCCCTTGCGATGCTTCCACTTTTGCTTATCCCAAAAACCCCCCTCCAATCCAGCATGATCATCTTCTCCAATGCCTATGCATCTTACTATCCATTCTGAACCTCGATGCTCAGCTCATGCTAACGCACCTCAAATCCAAGCCATCGCAGCAACCAACCCAACAGCAACACCCAACCAACTCACCCCGACCATCCCCGCCGCACCCCTCGCATTCAGCTTCACCACCGCACCGGGGAAACTGCACGTCAACCGATTCGGATCCGCATCCATCTTCCCATACATGACTTCTCTCTGCCGCCCACTCGGACACGCAAACCCCAGCTTTGCCGGACAACTCCGCACAATATCAAAGCAAATGTCCTCACACGGCTTCATTTCCTTGTACGGGCCCGGCTTAATCAGCTCGTCAATCAGCGGATTGCGAGACTGTGTGAAGCCCACATTCTCACGGTACGTATCGTTGAATTGCAGCGCGACTTCGTTGCGTAGCGGGACCGAGCCGTTTGCAAAGGGCGCGTTGATGTTGCGGGGCTGGAGGTAGCTGTCTTTTGCGGTCCAGTCTTCGCAGCGCGGGATGAGTACCATGCACAGCCAGTTTTTGTAGTCGCGCTCGCAATCTTCGCATGTGCGTGCAAGCGAGTACTGCGACTCGGGTTTGGCGTCACAGGCGACTTGGGCGAGTGATTTGGTGAAGTTGGCGTAGTAGTCGCGGGCTTGGTTGTCGTAGATTTCGGCGAGGGCCGTGTCGTTGAATTTGAAGCTTGCGTTCGAGGGGACAGCGTAGGCGACTGAGTCGCAGAACTCGAGGTCGAAGAGGACTTGGCAGGAGTCGTCTGAGTTGCTTTGTTAGCATGGTCTTAGAAATGAGTAGATACGTCGTGATCTCATACCTGCTTTGGTCGTCCAGTTAAAGGCCTGGAAGACTCGTCCACCGCCCCTCGTCATACCCGCACCGGGAATGTACTCAGGCTCCTGGCTTCCTTCAATAACCACGAAACCATTATACGTCGTGGCCCGCTGCAGGCCCCTGACGTGGAACTGGTTCTTTGGGAAATTATCATTCTTGTCTACTCCAAACTTTGTAGTAATCCTGCTATCAATCGTAAAGTTTCGAGTGGTATTCACGTTGAATTGCTCCTTGATTGCACAGTACGACCGCTCCATGCCCGTGATTGGTGTGTACTCGCCCGCTTGGAAAGCGTACATCGAGAAGGGGTTCTGCTGTTTCCACTTGTTCACGGCTTCGGTCGAGTTCGAATCGCCCAGGTCGTACGTGATGAACAGTGCAGACTCGCTGTCTGTATCAATCATGTACAAGAATGGGTCCGATGCGTTGTAGTTGTGATAGGGACCGTCGGTACTTGCAGCAAGCTCAAAGTGCCAGCTCCCAAACCAATCTTCTTCGAGCTTGGGTGCCGAAATGCCAATATATACGTCCGAAGTCGTGTTGAAATCAAAACTGGCATACCCGCTATTGAACAGCCCCGTCGTAAGATTCGTAATTGTGTTATCGGTATTGCTTGGTCCAGGTCTCTTGTTGTCAGGTGAAGTCGACACATACATGACGAGCTGGGGATGGTTTTTGGATGCTTCGGTCGCATTGCCATTAGGCACGGGCTGTTTACAGGTGTTGGCCGTGAGCCATACACGAGTACCGTTAGACTGCCGTTTGCTCAGTCCCTTACTATCCTGCGCCTCTGCCATGTCTCCATGCGACATGTTGTCTGTTCCTCGTGCTTCCAGAGCATCCTCAGAATTTTCATCGACGCGGCTCAAACTCAGCTGGCTTCGCTCCAGCACAAAGTGTATCGTACTCTCAGGATCAATATCCTTCTCCATCTTCTGATTGTTGACCAGTCGGTCCATCTCCTCTACTTGTCGTCCGATCAAGTCTCGGTCAAGGTATCCAAATTCGGGCTCGTAGCCCTCACTTTCTTCTCCATCATGACTAGCATCCCCGATATCCGAAAGGCCATCGCCTACGAGCGCACGTAATATAGGGGCGTCAGAAAGGTCGGTATCAGGTGCGCCGAGGACTTCGGCGCAGGCGAACAAGCGCGGCGTAAAGGATGTCCATAGTGTAAGGCAGGAAACTGCAGCGAAGAGGTATATGAGCAGTCTCAACTGCAGAGTCCAAGGCTTCGGGCGTTGCATTGCCCTCTCCGCTAGGTTATCGATAGGGCAGGGGACGCATGAGGTTTCTGTTCGGCGCAAAAGGCGCGCAGCGACGAAACGAGTGTCGGACGGCTGTGCGCACCGGAAGAAAGCGATTGACACAAACGAAGAGAGGTTTTTAGGAGAGAAGGGCTAAAGAAAGGGAGCAGTGGGGGCGCGGACTGTCAGACGTGATGAGGGACATGCACCGCCCCTCTTGAGGCCAGAGTTGTGGCTGACACCTGCCAAGACATGTGGCTTCCATCATCCAATATCTCCTGAAGCATTGTCTTACGGCACTCACAGCACTCAATTACCAGCATTTTATCTTTCCTCACTAGTGCGCATTGACGCAAAAAGAAGACATCGGGGGTTTTATTTTATTCTAAAACACATAATTTGAAGAGGCACAATTGGAACTAATTCAACATCACCATGTTTACAGAGATACTCATACTAGCTCCAAAAGGTATAATATTTACACGAACTACAACATCAAACGTTGCCTATTCTAGTTCCAAAGCCATATTTATAATCCCGCCAACTCTTCAGTGAATACCACTGGCAGAACATTTTTCCCTTCTAACAATCTACCCAAGCTTCTCTAAAAGAATCAGACGCTTAAGCAAGAGCAGGGTTAGCGTTCTTGAGAAGCATCTCGAAGTAAGCCTGGAACCAGGTTCCGGCCTCGGGAGCGGGCTTGAAAGCGCTGTTCCTGCCGCAGTGGGCATCGTAACGGGCAGCGCTGGTGTCAGAGGTACCGTCAGACTGAATAACATGTTAGCAGTTGCAAAAATCAAGTTAGGGTTTTCATAGATATAGTACGTACCTCGCCACCGGGCTTGACCCAGACGATAGCATCAATGAGGGCATTGCCAGTGTTGGTGGTGGGACGGGTACCGAAGCCAGCACCTGAGACGTTGCACCAGTCACCCCACTCCTGCTGGTTAGTGGGCACCTTTCCGGAGCGGCCCTGGTCGACGATGAAGTGAGCAGGGAAACCCTCGTTCTTGAGGAGAGGAGCCAGAGCGTTGATGTAGCGCTCCTCGTCACAGTTCTTGTTTCCTTGGGTGATAGATGGGCACGAGGAGATGCGGAGAGCGTTGTAGTTGCTGACGTTGGTGACGATACCACGGACACCACGAGGAGAACCAGCAGCCTTGTAGACCTCTGCGAAGAGCTTCGCGGTGGGGCCAATGTTGGCGTCCCAGCCGAGCCAACCAGCGTGGCCACCGTCCATGTACATGTCGACGTTGTTGAAGTTGAGTGTCTTGAGGGCGTAGGCAGTGAGCTCCTTGTAGTATGGGGCGGCACGTGAGCACTTCTGTACACCCATGTTGGTGACCATGTTGGCAAGCGAATCGGGCTCAATGGCAAGGTTGATCTTGACGTCGGGGTACTTCTTGATGATGGCGGCAATCTTGTCAATGTACTGGGTCTTGTACTTCTCGACGCCACCGTCGTCAATCTTGAGTTCACCGTTGGAGGCCAGAGCGGCGCAGTCACGGTCGGGAAGGTCGTAGACGACGAAAGTACCCATGAGGTTTGCGCCAGCAGCGTTCTTGGCCTTGATGTCGGCGAGGTAGGTGTCCATGAGAGGAACCTTGGCCATGGTGTCCATCCACACGAATGATCCGACCTTGGCCACGGCGGTAGCAGCAGGCTTCAGCGAGGCTGGAAGCGAGGGCATGGCCAGGGTGTGAACTTCAGACGAGTAGTATGGGTTGGCATAGAAGTTCTTGCCAGCGAAAGGGTTGCCAGAGGGCGCAGCGGTTGGAGTAGGCGTGGCCTGGGGCAGGGCCTGAGCCAGGCCGGCTGCGAGCGCAGTGGTGAGAAAGACGTTGGAAAGCATCTTTGAGAACCAAGAAGGAATGTGGTGAGTTGCGTAGAGAAAGACAAACAGTGAAGTTCTCGAGCCTTATTTGTATGCTGGCTGTCGACCCTTTGGGCTGGCGGCTATGAAGTCTTCATCAATCTCCAAATTGCTTCAGCCGGTGCCAATGTCCGTAATGCCGTAGTCGAGCTCCATTGACTGGCTTCTCCAAACCGATATTCGGCCACATGATGGGGAAAAAGCGGTACCTGAGCCCCCGCATCTTCTCGAAACATGCACCGAAGACGCCACCTCATGACTGTCAAAGTCCCCACATTTGATGAAGGTGCATCGTCGACGCTGCTTCTTGGACGGATACTAGGCTATGTACTCCGGCCGCCGAGCAAGTAGTCTTGTCTCCTGTAAGTACGCTATGCCTGAAGGGAACATAGTCGGCGGATGATATTGGGGTAGGCCTTGGAATTGGGCTTGACATATGCTTGGCCGAACGCATGACTAGATACGAGTGGGTGACAAGAATCCCCAAGCGCTAGGCGACTTTGACTTCATCTATGGCCCTTCTTTGTGTGTTCTCAGAGGACTGTTGATCAACCAGCTAGATACTGGGCGCCGATGTTCTGTGCCGCATCCTCGCGTCGGCTGTTAAGTGGTGATTGCTTCTCGGCTCCTTCATGCCACTAGCGCGCCTTGGGATACCCACACGGCGTTGTTTAACATGACCTCGTCTTTTTGAATGACATTGTTCATCGTAGCTTTCCTTTTTTTGTTATCTCTTGAGGTTGATTTTTGGCCGCCACTAGGTCCTGCAAGCGAATACCTATAACCAGGTTGCATATATGAACTGATAGTGCTCGACTGGGTTGTGAGAGCACATTTCCCGGTCCCCCTCCGGCAGGTTAATCTATTCTTCTGCGCCATGTAAATTGCTGGCGCTCGACTACCGAACCAGATGACGTTGCGCTCACTGTTCAGGCAAACAAGCTGGGGCTACCTAGCCTTAAAAGAGAATAGACTTTATGTAGTTCGTCGCAAGGCCAGTATCTGCCCTTGCGGGTGGGATTTGGGAGTGGGAGGTATAACGAACGAGGTAGTCTGGGGTACTTCACGCCACCGGCCAACGGTATTCACTGTCTACATCCGGTTGTTTGCATCTGCAGACTTGGCGCAATCGCTCATTTCCTTCTCGACTCCACTGCCAGCTGTCCCAGAACCGCTGAGCCTTTACCCAAGATTAAAGCATCAACTCTTGCAATCATAGTCATCTATCTTGGACATGAGGTATGGTACATGGTACATTGTAACTATAGAACGCACATAGTGTTGCGGCCCTTACCGTGGTTACATGGCTTATGCACGCAAGATATGCGCAAGTCCATTTCCGAACTCAAAATACCCGGTTATTGCAAGCATCCCAACCTGGCTTCCCGGTGTCCCCCGCGCCGCACTTCGCATCGTCCCTTTTCTAGTTCTTGTTCCTAGCCAATACTACGGCTCTAATAACATTCTCAGAGTACCTCGACTGTATACTGGAACCGCCGATCACAATCACGTGCAAGAATACTCTTGGAACTGCATGCTACATGTCGCATTCCAGCATCACTGTTCCGACTTATCCTATTATCCACATACTCAGACAACATCCAAGACTTTTTCATGTCTCTTACAATTTGCCAAAGTAAGGCCTAGCGAATCCCAAGTCCCATAAGCACGCTGCCTCTCTGTCATTCACATGACACTCTTGTCACCCTGGGCCCCAAAATACCATACTACACACCCAACCTTCACCTCCTTTTTCTCAACCAATCCCAACTTCCCTGCTCTCTCCAACCCCTCCCTCACCTCCCTATCCCGCATATCCCCATCCGTAACTCTAACACCCATAGCCTTCCTCCCCCTATTACACCTCCGCGAGAAAAGCAGTATAGCATCTGAGATTTGCTCTGCTACATCTTCTGAAGATGTCGTTCCAAGCTGTTTATTACGAAACGGTAGATGTTCGTGGAGCAATTTCTTCTTCTTCTTAACCTTGACCTCGGGGACGAACAAAGTGTTCTCGGACGATGTAGAGCAGATACTGCTTTTTCTTTGGATTTCATCTGCGGCGGACTTGTCGGCGTCGTAGCCGTAGTCAATGTCGTCGGTGTGGTTGTCGCTGACGACGAAACCATCGAGTTCGTAGGATTCGTTGCTGGATGCGTAGGTACTGTTGGAGCTTGTACTACGCTTGTGTCGTGTGGCGCGTGTTAGGGAGGGTGTGTGAGGAGGGGGAAAGGGGGTACATTGGTCATCTTGTGTGGCGAGTTCGATGTCGCTGTCCGGGTATTCGGATGATGATGATGATGATGATGATGATGTAGAGTCAGCAGTTGAGTCAATTATGAATGGGAGTGCGGGTGGTTGAGAGCGACGGGAGTTGTTGGGTTTAACAAAGGTTGCGATGTTAAATGGTGCAGTAATGGTGTTGGTGTGAATTTTTGCGCGAGCTGGTGAGCTATCGGATTGAGTGCGAGATGCATATCTCTGCCATGTGGCCCTTTTTGCTAGACGCGCTGATCTTCGCACGAGCTGGCTTTCTTGATTGGAGACGGTGCTGGAGCTATGTTCGCGGCGAAGGGAGGTTTTGGTAATGCGAGGAGACATGGTTAGTCACGCAGACGTACTTTCCTAAGACAAAATGAGATATCGAGTTCTGCAGTTGATGTATCAGAATACTTTTTCATGACTACGGAAATCACAGTAACATAATCGAGGATTTAATTTCAACAATGCTAAAAGGGACTTGTCACAAGAACATGTCGAGATCCTGATGGTCATGCACAAGCTCATTGTATACTCAAGAACAAAGAAATCTTTTTGGTTATGACAACAGCACCTTTGAACAAAAAATCACTTTTGAATGATTGGTCCCAGGTAATGACATGACGATAAATAGTTCGAAGCGTATTTGTAGTGTATTGAATGTACATAATGCCCATGTCTTAACAGAAAACACAATCAATTACTGCCAGTCTTCCTTTTGTAGCTCTCATAGCTCTCGCAAATCTTACAATGAAATCGTCGAAAGAGATTATAACGCCGCCCAGATGCTAGGGGGTATCGTTTCATACCAGTAGCTTTTTTGATGATGCGCTGAATACTGAATCCAGACGGAAAAATGTTTCCATAGAACGCCGGATTGATAAATGCTCTCGCACAAATTTTGGGGCCGAAGCCGGTCACGTAGACAAATGCAAGATGATAGCCCTATGCGGAAATCAATGGGCCATGGAAGTCGCGCAAAGTGGCCACTAGATCATCCTCACGGAAGAGCTGCAAGAGTAATTTTTCTTGCACTTCCTTCCATTTTCTGAGTGCATCCAGCTCGCCTTTGCTCAGCCACTTCTCTTCATTTCCCACAACATCGGAACGTTCCGCTTTGGTAAGGAGGAATTGTACTTTCTCTCGTTCGTAGGCTATGCGCTGAAGGATGCGCACCATTCCCTTGTATGTGTCGTGGAGCAGTTTCTCGCGAGCGCGCTGTCGGTCATACCAGACCAGGTGGAGAGAGTGTTTGGCTTCTCGTCTGTCGACCTTGGGGATCTCCTGAGTCTGAACAATGCCTTGAACTGTAAGGTCATTGACGATGCCGCGAATGTCATTGGCGGACATCATCATGACATTGCAGATTGCACGTTCGTCAAGTCTACCCTTCTTCCGCAGGGCCCGGATGAGTTTTACGCCTATCGTGCCTTTTCTTGCTGAGATAGTGTTTTCAACTTCATTCTGTATCATTTGTCTCGCAATCTCGTCGAACTCAATGTGCCATTGTGAGAATCCGGCGCGCGAATGCCAAGTGACAAAGTGAAACGGGTCTTCTGCCAGCATTTGTATGTGTTTGTCTACGACTTTTGTCTTCTCTTCCATATTGAGCTTCGCAGGATCCGTTGGTGCCGTCCAGATGTTGGTTCGGTTGACGTGCCCCTTCCGAGTGATTTGCACAGCCGCATTAGGGTCAAGACCTTCAAAGATATCCAGGTCCTGCTCTCGACTGAGCTTTACTGCAACGTCACGCGCAGTGATGAGAAAACGAGGGTCGATGTTGTTTTCTGTAGATGGTTCAACATTAGCCAAGTGCGGCTCAGGCCATTCCTCCCAGCAACGAGGCGTCTTCGATTCCAGCATGCGCAACATGGTCTGGTATACACGTGCAGTGACTGATCCCAAACGTTGTTGTACCAGATGGACTAGTTGCTGTGTTCGCATTGCAACAGCAATCTTCTCAGGATTGACGCGGATAACAATGTCGTCATCCGATGATGGTACAGCCCAACCGTTCGCTCCGTTAGTCTTCACTCTTTTGTTAGATCCATTGGTTTGCCGCGCAAACTTTGGAACGTTCAGCCACTCGTCGCGCATTGCACGCTTGCGGGCCAGGGTGCCTCTGTTGACTATATCTTTATCTTTGGTTCCAGTAGGTGTGATGCCTGCATTGTCTTGTTCAATGGACTCTTGGTAGAGCATGTCGTGCATGTCTCCAGGGGAGAGATACTGGGTTTCCGTAACAGTCCTGACCCATCCGTTTTCGATCAAGGTTTGGATGAGCTCGTATAGCTCGTCAATGGAAGTGATATCACTATCATCTTGCTCTTGACCAGGCTCCTTCGGTGTGCCGTTCTGTGACACCCCGTCGACCTTGGAAGCCTTGTGTACGCCGTTGGTTTTTCCGTTGCCGTTTGCCAGCGTTGCCGGGTCTGGCTTTACATCCTCCAATTCAGAGGGAACCCCATTTGTAGCACCATTTGTCTTTGCGTGACCGTTTACATGAGCACCGTTGGTGCGCTTTCGCTTGGAGCCAGCGCCGTTTGCAGCGCCATCGTCTGACTCATCATCACTGTCTATCTCGGGTGGGAAGTATGCTTCTTTCAAATCGGTGATGCGTGTGTGGCCGAGGGCGAGCAGGTTGGACATAACATTGGCAGCCTTTTTGCCAAAGCGATCTTCGACCAGCTTCGTGACCTTGCCAAAGCGGACGATTGCGTACGAGTTTTGCCAGTCGATTTCGTAGTAGGTCAAGGGCGCATCGCTACCGGAGTGGAAGATAAGGTGCTGCTGGAGGAGAATGACGAGGCCATATTTGATTTGCCGGGCGTTTAGGTAGGAAGCGCGGGCGATGGAGGCGAGGCTCTGTCGTCCATGGCGCGCGAGCACTGAGTATACTCGCTGTGAGTAGTTAGAAAAGGTGACTCGAATGCGCCTGTCGCATGACTGGAGCAGAATTTCTCGTCATGCAGGGCAGCTTGCGCAAATAATTTTTTCGTTGTCAAACGTACAGATGCAAGTTCGCCATAGATGTCCTCGACAAGGAGAGTGCAGAGATCCG